AAGTTAACCAAAAAAAAAAGATGGCTAGTTAGGTAAGTCCCCCCTTTTTTCATCATCCAATCCAGCTCATTCCAGAACTCATTTTCTTCTAACTCACACCGCACCTGTGGGGCATAACAGCTAACAACATCCAATCTAGCTCCTTCCAGAACTTCTCCTTTTCTTCCAACTCACAGCCCACCTGTGGGGCATAACCACTAACAACATTTATCATCACTCCTTCTATTTCTACCTTCACACACATCAACCTGTCTGACTCTCGTTTCACCTCTACCACATTTCTTACATGTTCTTCCTTTAGGATCACCCCTACTCCATTTCTCTTCCCATCTGAACCATGATAAAACATTTTGTGGCCTCCTCCAATGTTTCTAGCCTTGCTGCCCTTCCACCTGGTCTCCTGCACACACAAAATGTCTACTCTTCTTCTCTCCATCATATCAGCTAGTTCTCTACTTTTCCCTGTAATTGTACCTACATTTAGAGTTCCAAACTTCAGACCAAAACTTCTTCCTCTTTTCTCTTTTTGTTCAAATCAATCATCCTCCTCTTGTTCTTTGTCTTTGACCAACAGTAGTCTAATTTCCACCAGTACCCTGTAGGTCAACAGCACTGTTGGAGGTCGTTGGTAACCTGGGCCTCAACCGATCAGGTATGGAAATCATTTTAGTGATTATTTGGGCAGTGGTGGCTTAGTGGTTAAGGAGGGGGAGTTAGGTACAGAAGGCTGCAGGTTCAAATCCACCACCTGCCAAGTTACCACTGAGATGCTCTGAGCATGACACTGCTCCCCGGGAGCTCAAAGCTGCGCACTGTTCACTTTGGTGATGGGTTAAATGCAGAGGTCAAATTTTGTTGTGTGCAGTGTTGTGTGTCACAATGACAAGGAGTTCACTTTCCTTTTCTTTTCTTCCTTTATTTGATTTGGCTTCCTAACGCAACCCTCACAATTTATCTGGGCTTGGAACCGGCACTACAATATCACTATAGTAGCACTGGCTTGTGTACCCTAGTGTACCCTGGTGGCTGTAGGTTCCTAAATTCCTAAATTTTTTATCCATCCATCCATCCATCCATTTACATCCGCTCATCTGTTACTGGGTCACGGGGGCAGCCCGAATCACATTGCACCGTACCAACCCCCCTAAACCTTCCTGCAGGTGGTGAGTCCACTGGAAGGTACCAACCGCCTTGATTGGGATTCGATCTTGCCCAGGAGGTGAACCCTGGGGTTCCACACCAATGACAGAGACATTGACTCTGGGCCAAAGCACCACAAGGTTTTTTATTTTGGAATTATTTGTCATAATATTGTACATTTATAATTTACTCACCATGCAGTTTCAACTTCTCTTTTACATATAATATGGGGTAATAAGGGGTAAAAGCATGGCTTGAGTAAAGTGTGGCAGCTGAAAAAAAAGGTTTAATAATGTCAGTTGTCTACACTGTACTGTATTTGGATAGCTTGGTTATGATATGGAGTGGGTTAATTATGTCCACTAAATCACGGCAGAAAGATTTCACATTTTAAAAAGTGACACTGTACAATAGCTTTGATGGCGTTAAAATCACAATGAGACTCACTGCTCTGACTCCGCCCTCTAACCCTAACCTCCCCGTATATGTCACAGAAATGCATTCCAAACAGGATGACGACTCTTGTGAAGTGAAAAAAATAAATAAATGAAAAGACTGATCTTACACCTTAACTCAAAATGACGAAAATTTAGGAGCAGGTTATACAAAAACCAAAACAACAACTCACCACAATCAAACACATATTCTTAAAAAATCCATTGGAAATTCTTTTTACAGGCTGCACAGTTTATTTTTAAAATACTGGATGGGATTTTCCAGCAGGAGACGCAGGGAATAATAGCACGTAATATGGAGGGAAAGGGACTTTCACTCCTCCTCTGTGCATCCGAGGATTTCTGCACGCATGGTGATCCTAACGTACCATGACCAGGGAAGAATCCGGATCAGCCGGGCATGAATGGGCGGGTTTATCACATTCTTTCTGTGTGTTTCGTTGTCAAAGTTTCCCTGAAATACCTGTCAGAAGAAGAGCAAGGAAAGATTTTCATTAAATCGTCAGAGGAATAAAAATGTAAATAAAAATTAGAGCTGCAGAAACATTCCAAAACAAACAAACAAAGAAAACTTCAGAAATCAAAATGTAAAAAAAAAACAAAACAATTCTTATTCCACCAAAGCAGATACAGAGACTTTTATTCCTGTTTCCTCAGAATACCTCGAGGGCCACCTGCTTGAACAGGTAATGAAGTGCAGCTAATCAGAACTGCATTTCAAACAGAGCCAATAATGCGGCAGCACAGTTGCAACTTCCAACCCCACAATCAGGCACAGCAAACACTGCTCACTGACTGGTATGATTTACACCCACATATTTTTCAAGCTTGTTTTGTTTGGGTTTTTTTTCCTACATTTTGCATTCATTTATTTTTATTCTTTGTAGAAGCAAAAGACCAACAATTTAGATGGAGAGAATGGTCAAAAATGTACTTTTTCTCCCTAGTCTTGTATACACACATTTAATAAATTCATGTAAACTAACATTTTATGTATCCAGTCTTACAAATGTATTATGGTAATTTGTCTATGTGTCACGTGTGGGCATCGACATGGCAGGAAGCAGGCAGGACCCAAATGCAGTACTGGTGCAGGTAGTTTATTTAAAAGAGCAAAAACAACAAAAACTCACTTCTACACAAGAACAGGACAAACTAGGAACTTGACTGAGCATAGGAACAGACTAGACTAGGAACAGCTACACCATTAACCAGATGCAATACACAACACAGTCACTTACTTACACACTGAATCAATCACAATGATCCCACAAGGCCAGAGTGAGGGAGAGAGGTATATATACAGGGAGCACCAGGTGACACAAGTGAGGCTAATTACAGACACAGGTGAGTGTGATCACACAGATTACCCCACACAGCAGACAGCAGGAAAAGGAAACAGACAGACCTGACAGTACCCCCCTCCTAATGGACGTCCTCCGTCCAAAAGCCTACCACCAACTCTCTGGGTTGGATGGGTGGGACAGAACTAGATTAACTGAAAACAAGGCCAAAAAACTAAGCCCAAGGGAAAAAATGGAAGAAGAAAAAAAAAATTCCAGGCCCAAATACCCTAATACTTGGCCTGGCTTTTTCTGTACCTTGGTCTAGGGAACTTGTGTCTTAAGGAGTAAGGAGTCCCTCTCCTAGACCAAGGCATGCCAACAGTCACAAAGTCTCCCCCAGCCGAACCAAGAACTGCTGAGGGAGCGTCAGTCACAGAAACCGGAACCTCTGAGGGTGCAAAGTCCCCAGGCACCTCCAGAGGCGTGACGTCCTCAGGCACCATCGGAACCACTGAAGGAGCAACCACTGTCGCGCGCCTCCCGGACCACTGGAGGTGTGACCACCGTCGTCTCCCGAACCACCGGC